ATTTTTGTTTCGCGTTCTTTGCCATGAGTGGAGGAGCCTTTTGATGATCTATAGTTGCGTTCTGTCTTCGAGATATGGTCGACTCAACGTCTGTTGCACCCGAGTTAGCAGCCTCAAGATGGTCTGCCACCCGTTTCGTAATGTCAAACTTTTCAATTGCCTTCGATAAGGCTACTGTGTCCCGATCCTCAATAAGTTTGTTAGCCCTCATCGCTACTATACAGATAATGACATCTCGGTCCTTCAGTGCTTTCACATGCTCGAGAACCTCTCCACGCAAAGAGGTTCCATAATCTTCACTGTAACACTGTGCATCTTCGTCTTCGATACCGTCATGATCACTATCGTCATCCTCATCGTGATATATAAATTGTTCGAATGTCGCATATATCGTTGAAGATGTGGTATTCATCTTCATGTCTCGAAATGATCCATCGTTCCCGTTCCAACAGCCAACTGCAAGTTTTGGATCCTGGATTAATTTAGATATAAAGGTTTCCTTAGTTGGACTTTGAATAAAGGCAAACTTTAGTAAAGGAATCTTCCAACCTTTCCAGTCTTCACGAATTTCAATACGGTTCTCCAATGCCAGTAGCTCGTTTCTAAGCAGCATTTTTGACTTCTCCACGGCTTCAGTCTCAAAATTGCGATCAATGTAAGTATCGTATAATTTGAACAGCTGGCGAGGGTTTTTCGCGTGATCCAGGTTTCTTGGATTCTCAATATGCGCGGCTATTTTGTCTATCAAGTCGAACTTTGTGGTAGCTTTAATGAAAGCTGTCTCTTCCCCCTCAAGTTCTTCTTTGTTGTTCTCGGTTATCTTCATAGCAACCGTGCAGATTGAGACATTTTGGCGCCTCAAGATCTTAACGCGATGGAGGCATAGGTCTTCCAGAGATTGCTCTGGTGTAGTAAATTGCGCTTTCCAGGAAGCATCAGGCTGCAACTCTCGTTCCATACGGTCACAAAATTCCGTAGTCTGAGACCTTATGAAGCCGGATTCTCCATCCCTAACAACCACCGTGAGGTCTTTATCTGCCAGCAGGTTTGAGATCAAGTTAGGTACTGTTTCCTCATGGACAATGAATTCAAGACAAGGAATTCCCCGAAGCTCCGTGCGTTGGTTCCTAGTTAGACGCCCACCTCGCCAGTCTGGGCCCTTATCAAGCCCTTGCCCCCCAAGCACCAGTAATCCATTTTCAGTAAGCTGTTTCAAAGATCGATATTCTTCATCCGTTTCACAATCCATCCTAGGAAAACCTAAATATGGGGAACAACAACGATATCTCTTCCGCCGGCTGTGTCTGATATACCATTCATTTTCTTGAAGCAGTTCTGGCCATTTTTGTATATCGTTCCACATACTTGGCCTGGTTATGTGCTTTGACACTTGGCTTGCCAAATTGAAATCCTCGTCCCATTTCATATTCTTTGCAACCGCACAGATGAAGATATCTTGACCCTGGAAAGCTTTCACATGGTCAAGACAAAACGATTTTAAAGACAAGTCCTTCCCCTGACGATACTCCACCTGGTCAATCTTTGAGTCAGCTTGCCGGCGCTGTCGAAAAGGAACCCGTTTTCCTATGAATAAGCCCTCTCGTTGGCTCCAACAGCCTACTGTAAGTTGAGGATCATGTTCCAATCCTAAAAGGATGTTGCGCATTGTGCTTGGTCGGTCATGCATGATGAACTCGAGATATGGGATCAGTTCGTAGACCCCCTGGT